AGTGCGAGCAGTGCGAGCAGTGGAGCAGTGCGAGCAGTGCGAGCTGCGCGAGCAGCGGGAGCAGCGCGAGCAGCGCGAGCAGTGGAGCAGCGGGAGCAGTGCGAGCAGTGCGAGCAGTGCGAGCAGTGCGAGCAGTCGAGCAGCGCGAGCAGCGGGAGCAGCGTGAGCAGCGCGAGCAGTGCGAGCAGCGTGAGCAGCGCGAGCAGCGCGAGCAGTGCGAGCAGTGCGAGCAGCGCGAGCAGCGTGAGCGAGCAGTGCGAGCAGTGGAGCAGGTCGAGCAGTGCGAGCAGTGCGAGCAGTGCGAGCAGTGCGAGCAGTGCGAGCAGTGCGAGCAGTGCGAGCAGCGCGAGCAGCGCGAGCAGCGCGAGCAGCGCGAGCAGCGCGAGCAGCGTGAGCAGCGCGAGCAGCGTGAGCAGTGTGAGCAGCGTGAGCAGTGTGAGCATTGTGAGCATTGTGAGCATTGTGCACCAGGTGAGCCAACACGTTAGCCCTTGCCAAGCTATGGCTCCTCTCCTCGTCTGCTTACACTTGCTGACCCTCCCCTTCTCTCATTTCTCGTCTCTCCTTCCCTCTCATTCCCTCGCCTTCCATTCTAATCTCTTCTTCCATGTTCTTCCTTCGCCTCCCTTATCCCTCCCCTCCGTCTCCACTCCACTGCTTTGTTTTCCCGCCTCCCATTCTCCCGTGCAGCACTCACTCCAGCCTCCAGTCGGATTGCTGCGGGCGGACAACAACTGCCCTCTTTGGAGGCAGTAGCAGTGGGCTTACTGCACCTTTTGCCCTCTCCCCTCTCACCTCTTCTCCTCTCTTCACCCTTCTACCCCTCCCCCTACCCTCCTCTCCTCCCGTGCAGTACTCACTCCAGCCACCAGTGGGATTGCTGCGAGCAGACAACAACTGCCCGCCCTGGAGGCAAGACCTTCGAGAGGTGAGTTTATGAGGCGCCTCAAAACTGAGTCGATTTTTCAGGTTCTTCTTTCCCGTGGTCTCCTCCTTTACCTCCAGAAGTTCCATGCCATCATCTGTGATCCTCCCTACAACGTCATTTCGTTGCAGGCGGTTGAAAGTACAATCTCCGATTCCTTCCTTCACCTACCCACCTCCCAGAAATTTAACTATTTCCTTTTCCCTTGGTTCTCCCCTACTACCTCCAGATGTTCCATGCCATCATCTGCGACCCTCCCTACGGCGTCCAGGCTGGCAGGCCGGATGAGGTTACACCAACTCTGGGCAGACAACTTCACAGCCATGCTATGTTGGTCCCTCTCACCCAACCCCCAAGTGTATTATTTTACTTTCCTCCCCTTGGGTTCCCGTTCCACCTCCAGATGTTCCATGCCATCATCTGTGACCCTCGCTACGGCGTCCGGGCAGGCAGGTCGGATGAGGTTAAAACTATGAGCTGACAACTTCACAGCGATGCTATGTTGGTCCCTCTCACCCACCTCCCAAGTCTATTTTTTACTTTCCTCCCCTTGGGTTCTCGTTCCACCTCCAGATGTTCCATGCCATCATCTGAGACCCTCCATACGGCGTCCGGCCAGGCGGCCCGGATCATGTTGAAACGCTGGGCATACAACCTCACAGCAACTCTTACTTTGCTCCCTCTTCTTTCCCCTTGGGTTCCTGTTCTACCTCCAAATGTTCCATGCCATCATCTGAGACCCTCCCTATGGCGTTCGGGCAGGCGGCCGAAAGTACAATGCTATTCGATCCATTCCTTCCACCACCCACCTGCCAAGAATATTCCTACATTCTTTTTTCCCCGTGGTTTACTCCTCTCTCTCCAGATGTTCCATGCCATCATCTGTGATCCTCCCTACGGCGTCCGGGCAGGCGGCCGAAAGTACAATGCTTTCTTTTCTCCCTTCCTTCCCCCACCCCACCTCCCAATAGTATTCCTATATGCTTTTCTCCCCGTGGTCTACTCTTCTCCCATCAGATGTTCCATGCCATCATCTGTGATCCTCCATACGGCGTCCGGGCAGGCGGTCGAAAGTCGGGCGGGAGGAAAATTCTCAACGGGGTGACCGACCCGTACTCAATAGCAGACAACCTTAAAGCTGCCCACATCCCCTCCACCGCCCCTTACTCCCTCGAAGAGTGCCTCCACGATCTTTTAGACACGGCTGCCCGGCTGCTTGTGATTGGCGGGCGGCTCGTTTATTTTTACCCTGCTGCCCGAGAGGAGTATGTGCCCGAGGAAATCCCGGGGCATCCGTGCCTGAAGCTGGTGGCGAATAGTGAGCAGATTCTGACCAAGCGGTGGAGCAGGCGGCTTGTGACTATGGTGAAGGTTGCGCAGTACAGTGATGACATGGCAGCTGCACACGTGGCGGCGCATGAGTGGTTCAGGAAAAAGCAGATTGAGGAGAGTAAGATGATGAGGGAGATGGGGGAGGCAGGGGAGGTGAGGGAAGGGGAGGTGAGGGAAGGGGAGGATGAGGGGAGCAGGGATGGGGATGGGGAAGGGGGTAGTGGGGGAGGTGGCAAGGGGGTGAAGCAGGGAAAAGGGGATAAGAAAGGGGAGGGAGAGAGGAGACCAGGAAAAAATTTTCATGACTTGGTGTTTGCGACACGGGCAGATGAGGTGGCAGGGATTCACCAGCAGGCCTCGGTGCAAGGCATGAGGGATGGGAAGGGAGAAGAGGGAGGACGGGGCACAACGAATGGGGTGCCTCATAGATTATCACGTAAGGCGGCGAAGCAGGCGTCCAGACCACTGTACCGTGCCAAGTGTGTGTGACGGAGCAAAGCGTGTGTCTTTTAGTTGACTAAAACGTCACCTCAAATGGGGTGCCTCACATATTATCGCGCAAGGCGGCAAAGCAAGAATCTAGACCGCTGTATCGCGCCAAGTTTGTGTGACAGGAGCAGAGCGAGGGTAGATGATTTGGCAGGCCTGGGTCTATGCCCTTGAGGGTAGGGAGAGGGCACGTTGAATGCGCTTTCTTGTATTTCTAGTAATCTGAGAACTGATTGTGCAGAATAGCTACCTTATTCTTTCATGCAATTCGTATCCTGAAGAAATACATGTTGATTGCTGTGTTCCACGTTTTTCGCTTTGTGACTATACGCGGCAATCGAATATATCGCACCGGTTTGGGTGGTAGAGCTTGGCCAGATTCGGCTCGGAAGGACCTTCACGAATCACTGACCGACACGGAATAGGTCCTTGGTGTTCACATGGGGATCTATGTCTTGTATTGCACCAGTGCGGTTGTACCAGAAACTCGAATCTTGTTGCTCGATACGGTAGTGGTGTTTGAGGGATGTGCGAACGAAGTGACCGCTTGATTGAAAGCTCTGGTTTCACGAGGTGGCGTTCTATCACATTCACTGAGAGGCAATTTCACCTATTACGTTTTGTCTAGCTGTCCTTCTTCAGGCTGCTAACAGGGCATTATGTTTTTTTAGGGAAAACAACACGTGAAACAGGTACGAGAACCTGTGCACTTTGAATATATGTGTGCGGGTCCTACCATCACCACAGGCAAATCCATCCTCTCTCCTCCCCTTCCTCACGCAGTCCTGTTTTCTCTGTCGTCCGCTTCTTCCTCGTTGGAGATTTGAAAGGTTCGCAATTCTTCAACTTCGACGCGAACTTTTACATCGTGTGGCAGTCCATTCCGTGGGTAAGCTCAGTTAGGACCGTCTTTGTGACTTCTAGGCGCCATAGTAGACTCTCCTAGTAAACTCCCCCATCAGCACAGGTTATAGTTCGCAATAATTTTACCGTAATAATGTCACCTAATGTCATACTACAACTTGTTCAGTGCTTTTCTTAACGGTCATTTTCTGCTCTCCTCTACTCTCTGTATCCCTTTTCAAGCTCTATTTCACGTACTCACGGCTGCCTGCCAGGTCTGCGTTGAGCTCGCTCGTTCGTCCAGGCACGTTGAGCACCCAAGTGACTGCACGTCAGGTTGTCACTGTCCGTCTAAAGTGACATGAGTGAACGTTGTTGCAACTCTCTTCATCGCACATCCCTAGCTTGTGGTGTCGGCCAGGCTTTTAGGCGTAGAAAACAAGCAACTCTACGTTTGTCAGCCCGTGGGTTGTTCGGTTCACAAAAATTGAGGTTGCAGAATCAAACATTTTATTGACTTCACTAATATATCGTAGCTCTCTTTCCTTGAAAATCGTATTGTCTAGACCGCGTTAGGCCGTGAATTTTAAGCCCTTGGCTTCATTCTTGTTGTTACAAGGACTTCTTCTCCTCAAGCCGGTGGTTAGCTCTCTCTCTTCAAGCCCTTCCTCTAGTGAAGGTTTCGTAAACTTGAAGCTCCTTCTTTTATCACAATTCTTATGGATATCTCCCGATACCACCCCTGCCGTGTTCCACTCTTATTCGCATCCTATGCGCGTTTGCCTTCATCTAATTACCACCGCCATTCTTTTTTTTACAATCCACGTTGCCTCGTTTCCAGAATCGTGCAGTCACAAGGAGTTTGAGGTTCATTCGCTGGTAAAGGCTTATGGCTGTCGAAAGGGAAGGGGTAAATGGATTGTTTGGAATGATGAGAGGGGAGTTGGCCGCAGTTAGAGAGGAGCTGGCAAGGCAAAATGACCGAGTACATATGCTGGAGAAACGAAACTTTGTTCTGGAAGGTAAGGTGGAATGGTTGAAGCAAGCACTAGATGCTTTGGGAGAGAGGAGTGTGGCTACGGTCGCTTTGGTGGAAAGGGGAGAGGGAGAGATGGCTGCAGTGAAGGGGGAGGTGATAGGAGTGAAAGCAGAATTAGTTGAAGCGAATGGGAAATGGACTGGGATTAAAGGGGATGTGTTTGGAGTGAGGAAAGCGGTGACAGGAGTGAAGAACGAGATTAATATATTCAAAGGGCAACTGGCAGGAGTGAAAGAAGACGTCGCTGAAGTCAAATGGGAGTTGACTGAAGTGAAAGAAAATGTGACTGAAGTGAAAGAAGGCGTGACTGATGTCAAAGGGGAGTCGAGTGCAGTGAAAGAAGGGGTGGTGGAGGTGAAGGGCCAAGCACTGATGTTGGACACGGCACGCGTCGCGAAGCAGTTGAACGAGCTAGGAAAAGCGGTAGCTGCATTGCAGAAGAATGGTGTGAGTGAGAGGTCTGTTGAAGAGAAGGGCATCGGGAGGGAGGAGAAGGAGAAGGGGGAACTGGAGGAGGGGAAGCTAACGGCCTTGAAATTGGAGATTGCTAGGCTGAGTAACCGCGTCTGGAAAGTTGTCGCGGAAATCGCACGCAGCCACGGAGAAAACAAGCACACATGGGAGGTAAGTGGGACTCATGCACAATTATCTTTCTTGTATATCCCCTCACTTTTCAGCACCTTTTGTGCTCTTACTGCTCTGCAGCGACAAGTGTTCAGGCACATGCAGTTGAACATGCGTTACGTCTGTAGGCACATCCGTGTCTGCCTTTTACAGCGTTCCTCCATCGGAAAAAATCAGCTGTATGGAGCAAATGTTCCTCAATCCAAACAATGTCATGTGTGTGTTTGTCTGTGTTTTTCTTACAGAGAGCACTGTCAGCATGGAGCAGTCACACACCAGAACGAACCTCGCTGGAGCTGAACAACCTCACCACCCTCTCCAACGCCGCTCTCCGTCACGTGCCCAAGATGGCCCACCTGCAAGAGCTCAGCTTAATCGCCTCCTCAGGCTTCGATGCAGCGGGCTTAATGCACGTGTCTAAACTAACCGGCCTGGCAAAGCTGGACGTCCGGCAATCTCCCATGTTGGGCGGTCGTACCGCGAATGTTCTGGAGGGCATCAGTGCCATGACAGGGCTCGAGGACCTCTGCTTGAGTCAAACCAAGGTAAACTGATGCCGCCCTGCTGCACCTGACGGGCCTCTCCTCGCTCAGGATTTTGTGGCTGCATAACTGTGGGAGCGTCACGAATGCTGGCATGGTGCACGTGGGAAAACTGACAGGCCTGGAGGAGCTGTATCTACGAGGCAGTGGGGTGCAGGACAAGGGCCTGCGGTACCTAACCGGCCTCACCAACCTGAAGGTTCTCTCGGCGCCAACAGAGATATCTGACGCAGGCATGGAGCATGTGAAGCAGCTGACGGGGTTGAAGAGGCTGGAGTTGAAGGACTGTAGGTTGGGTGAGAGGGGGATAGCGTGCCTGGAGGGCCTGCCAGGGCTGGAGCGGATCAAGACGAATGTGGATACGCTATTGACCCTGGACATTGGTGTGCTTCCGGGGGTGGTGATTGCCAACGATCAGAGGGTTCTATTTGAGCGCTGATACTTTATTGAGACGTTTCAAAAAGCATCAAGATGAATGTGGATACGCTGCTGGCTCTGGACATTGGTGTGCTTCCGGGGGTGGTGATTGCCAAAGAGCAGTGCGTTTTGTTTGAGCGCAGATTTTTGTGTTCCGGGTGGTGGATTCTGTTTGCCTGGTCTGTGATCTGAATGCGGACCAAAGGTGGCGGATAACAGGCAAATGTTGCATCGGTACATGTTTGTTAAAGCGACGGGCAACTTTTGGCAGTGTTGGGTTCAGAAGTTTTTTTTTTGAACCAGGCTTGCCAGCGCGAAAGTGTTGGCTGGCGAAAACCAGGATTTCGTGCAGACACTTTTCATCTGCAGTAACAGTTCGCCAGGGTTCTGGGTTTTGGGTGGCAAATGTGCACCGTCGCTTTAAGCACTTCTGTATATGCTATGCAGCTGAAAATCACTGATTCTTCCAGGCTGACTACTAGTGCCTCCCCCCGCTGCAGTAACTATACAAGCATTGATAACTACAGTCAGACGTTAAAGCCCTCGCTTCGATCAACTTGGTGCAAGCCTCCTCCCCGTGCTCCACAATGCACTCGTCCCTCAGCTTCTTGGTAGTCGAACACGCACAGCATATCTTCTTCTCTTGCATTGCATATCAACAGTGGTACATACTGGTAACCTACATAATCGCAGTCAGACGTTAAAGCCCTCGCTTCTTAAGCACTGTTTGTGCGCCTCGATCCACTTGGTGCAGGCCTCCTCCCCGTGCTCCACAATGCACTCGTCCCTCAGCTTCTTGGTCGTTGGGCACGCACAGCATATCTTCTTCTTCGGCTTCTCTTGCTTCTCTTGCGCTGCTGCCTCCGCCTTGCCTGCTGGCTCAGCCATCACAGGTGAAGACATGATGCCGCTTTGATGGAGGACCAAACTGGAGGGCACAAGGGAAGGGCAGGGCGAAGGGGAGCATTGGGGGTCAGCTTGGTTCAGTGCTGCCTCTGCCCTGCCTGCGGCCTCGACCTTCACAGGTGCTGATGACATGGCGCTGATTTGATAGAGGACCAAACTGGAGGGCACAATGGAGGGCAGGGCGAAGGGGAACATTGGGGATCAGCTTGGTTCAGTGCTGCCCCTGCCCTGCCTGCGGCCTCGGCCTTGACAGGTGCTGATGACATGGCGCTGCTTTGATGGAGGAGCACAGTGGAGGGCACAGAGGGAGGGCACAACGGGAGGGCACAACGGGAAGGCAGATGGAGAAGGGGAAATAACATATACTTCCCGTGCGCCTGTAAATCACCCGTGACTACTCCTCTCCCCTCCCCTTCCCCCACCTCCTCCTTTGCCTGCTGTATCTCTGAAGGTGGGAGAAGAGGAGGGGACGCGTGTGGAAGGAGGGGAAGCGTGAAAGAGGAGGGGACGCGTGTGAGAGGGGGGGCGCGTGTGAGAGGGGGGACGCGTGTGAGAGGAGGGGCGCGTGTGACAGCAGGGGACGCGTCTGTGAGGAGGGGACGCGTGTTAGAGGAGGGGACGCGAGTGAGAGGAGGGGACGCGTGTGAGAGGAGGGGACGCGTGTGAGAGGAGGGGGCGCGTGTGAGAGGAAGAACCTTCAAAGAGAACAAAGAGGCAAGAACTCTCGATAGCTATTTTCAAAAGGCAGCAGGGAGAGGCGGAGGCATGAGGGAGTGGAACAACGGACTGCTGCGGGTGCCGCCGATCGAACAGATGTGCACGAGATCAAGCGACAGGGATTGAGAGATGCGACTGTGGCGAGCTTTCGAAATGCGACTCTACCGTTTTCGGACACTTCGAAAGCTCGCCACAGTCGGTCGCGGAAAATCAGCCGCGACTTTCTAAATAAGAGATGGGCCGAGAGAGCGACGGGAGGGATGGTAAGAGGATGGTTGACGGGCGCGTGCTTGGCTTGGTGAGAAATGAAACTCGGAGGATCATGACACGTCACCTCTGCTGAGCAAGGCTACTACTACCCAACCGCTGCGCGCTTACTAACCGCGATCGACCTACCAACCTCCGATCGACGCACCTCTGTTATCCGTTGTAGCCAGCTGCAGCGCCGCGCCGACTCGTTCGAGCGGAGGTTGGTAGGTCGATCGCTTCTCGAATTTCCGCGTTACAGGTGTTATCAGCTGTGGCCAGCTTCAGCGCCGCGCCGACGCGTTCGAAACGCGGATATTCGAACAGATCGAGAGAGAGGTGATCACAGGTGCCAATCGATCCGCACCGTTGATCCTACTGATTGAGATTGCGGGAGAACAGCGGGAAGTGATGGAAGTCGCGCCAGCAGAAAAGGAAGTTCAGAAAAGCGTGAACGAGATGGTAAAACTACGCGGAGAGAATGCCAGGAGTCTGTCGAAGTCGATGCCTGAGGAGAGTCATGCAGCCTAGTTGTGTCAAGTTGTGTCACCGCTGGTGTTGGGGTGGTGCTGTTATGTGTGTCCCTGGGCTACTATCGTACTTGTACGAATCTTGCTGTACGATTCAGCAAGATTCGAGTAGCCCAAGTCCATCATGCATCCAATGTGTCACACTGCGCGCCAAATTTGGCGCCAACCTGGTCGCGAAGGGAAACATTACGACGCTGTGCGAAAAACGTCGCGACTTTCTCTGATGAAACGTGGAACCATGCAACTCGACGTGGTATCACCTTAGCTGGTGTGGAGTATTGTTCAGCAGGCGATTCTGGCAAAGAGCTTCGCAAAAATTGACGAGATGCTTCGCATTCAGCTCGCACTTGACTTTCGCGACTTGGTTCTTTTTTGCGTAGCCACTGGCTATCGACCACGTCATTGTCTGGTCGCCCAATCAGGCGGGTGGGAAGTCGTCAATTAGTCGTCCGTCGCTCGCGAAATCTGGCCAAGCAGTTTGGTCGACCAAGCTTCCGAACATAAACACAGTTCGCTGCAATGTTACACGCCCTCATTTTCATGCTTCAGGTGGATTGTGCGTGGGGGGAATCTGGGAAGACAGGTTCCATATTGTTGTGACATCCATTGATTGTCAGTCAGACATTGCGGCTTCAAGTCCTGCCGCATTCGTGCGTGAGACATTTCTTGGAGAGCCTGCTCTCTAAGAACGAGCCGCATTCCGTAGTAGCGACGTCCTTGTCTTTCCGTTAACGAGTCCCTTCCACCCTACCACCCAGCAACTTGCTGAACAAACGTAAGAAATACGATTTTACCTTGTCTCTATCCCTTAGACACCACGTGGATCCGACAGCCGCCGGGTGCTGCGGACGACTGAACTCAGTTATGATAGCGTCACCCTACTCATTCGTGGTTCTGAAATTAATTCCACCTGTTAAATCTGCTCGAACCTGAAGCCCTTTCGATCCACCCTTACTCCGCCAATAACATCCGACCGTCCATGGGCCTTTCTTTGCGCATCAGCTTCTTCGCTCTCTCGTATCACCAACAACATACGCTCTCGAATCTCCCAGAGATTTCGCCATTCCTCTCCCTTTCCCTACCTCGCTTCGATACGAGCAGAATGGCGGCCAATGACGCGCTGCCAGCTGTCCTGGTGGTGAACGACGACGGGATCGAGGCTCCGGGAATCAAGGCGCTCGTGGCGGTGCTCGGCTCGGCTGGCTTCTGCCGCGTCTTCGTCTGCGCGCCTGACGTGTACGTCGCTCTGCCCAATCAGCTGACTTGACGTGTACGTCGCCTTTCGCCCTCTATGTTGCCTGATATGCATGTGGCCATGGGCTCAATGCCCGCCCTGCCTTCACTGTACCCCTCTCACCTGGCTCGCCTGGCTTCTGCTGCTTCTGCCGTGTGCGCGCCTGACGTGTACGTCGCCTTGCGCCCCCTGTGCCCCTCTGCTGCCTCCTGTACCCCTCTCACCTGGCTCGGCTGGCTTCTGCCGCGTCTTCGTGTGCGCCCGACGTGTACGTCGCCATGCGCCCCCTGTGCTCAATGCGCGCCCTGCCTTCACTTTACCCCTCTCACTGGCTCGGCTGGCTTCTGCCGCGTCTTCGTGGGCGGGCCTGACGTGTACGTCGCATTGCTGGCTGGCGTGCATTTGACCATGTCTGATGCATCTAACCTAGTCCACGATCTGCCTTCACCATAAGGCCATTCACCTGCCATTCAGGCGCCAAGTCACATCGCTGTATGCACGCGTCACCATGAACCCTGACTGCTGGTTGACTTTTGAGTCGACTCAAAAGTCACATCGCTGTATGCACGCGTCACCATGAACCCTGACTGCTGGTTGACTTTTGAGTCGACTCAAAAGTCACATCGCTGTATGCACGCGTCACCATGAACCCTGACTGCTGCCACCAGGTTGGCCTCCAGCGTCTCTCGGATGGTGATGGCCTGTGCGCATGCTGACCTCTCCCTGGCACATGGTACAAAGGGGCACACAGGGGCACACAGGGGCACACAGGGGCACACAGGGGCACACAGGGGCACACAGGAGCACACAGGGGCACAAAGGGGAACAAAGTGGCACAAAGGGGCACAAAGGGGCACAAAGGGGCACAAAAGGGCACAAAAGGGCACATATGGGTACAGATGGGTACAGAGCGGAAACAATTTAGATTTAGAATGCGCCCCTCAAAGTCCTCCACCAGGTTCGCCTCGAGCGTCTCGCGGATGGTGATGGCCTGTGCGCATGCTGACCTCTCCCTGGTGTGGGGCACAGAGAGGCACAGAGAGGCACAGAGAGGCACAGAGAGGCACAGAGAGGCACACAGTGGCAAGGTGAAGACATGGTTTGGCATTGCGTGCTTAGCGTCAGAGAGCGCCTCATGTGCGCCCTCTCCTGGACCTCCAACAGGCCCTTGAGTTGAGTGTCTCCCGCGTGGTAATTCACTGGCAGACTGCAGTGCGCACACGTTGACTTTTGAGTCAACTAAAAACAAGAGAGCGCGTCATGTGCGCCCTCTCCTGGGCCTCCAACAGGCCCTTGAGTTGAGTGTCTCCCGCGTGGTGATTCACTGGCAGACTGCAGTGCGCACACGTTGACTTTTGAGTCAACTAAAAACAAGAGAGCGCGTCATGTGCGCCCTCTCCTGGGCCTCCAACAGGCCCTTGAGTTGAGTGTCTCCCGCGTGGTGATTCACTAACTGCACTGTGCACACGCTGACCCCTCCCAACAGGAAAACCGGGGAGAACCAGTGGATGCGGAGGAGAGGAGAGGGAGGAAGTGATGGGACGGGACGGGAAAGGAGGATGCGGCGCGACGGGAAGAGAGACGGCTATGTAGTGGGAGGCAGCCAGGGCTCATTCATGGTGACGCGTGCGTTGCGTACAGCAATGTGACTTGACTTGGCGCCTGAATCGACTTTTGAGGCGCCTCAAAAGGGGAGACGGCTATGTAGTGGGAGGCAGCCAGGGTTCATTCATGGTGACGCCTGCGTACAGTGATGTGACTTTGAGTCAACTCAAAAGTCAACCAGCAGTCAGGGTTCATGGTGACGCATGCGTACAGCGATGTGACTTTGAGTCAACTCAAAAGTCAACCAGCAGTCAGGGTTCATGGTGACGCGTGCATACAGCGATGTGACTTTGAGTCGACTCAAAAGTCAACCAGCAGTCAGGGTTCATGGTGACGCCTGCATACAGCGATGTGACTTTGAGTCGACTCAAAAGTCAACCAGCAGTCAGGGTTCATGGTGACCGTGCATACAGCGATGTGACTTTTAGTCGACTCAAAAGTCAAGGACTATGAGGGCGCTGCTGTCGCCTACTCGCTCACAGGTGCACGCCGCTGTTGCCTACTCGCTCACAGGTGCGTGCTGCTGTTGCCTACTCGCTCACAGGTGCGTTTTGGGTCGACTCAAAAGCCATCACACCACATGCCATCACCATCCGCGAGACTCGAGGCGAATCTGGTGGAGGACTATGAGGGCGCTGCTGTGGCCTACTCGCTCACAGGTGCGCGCTGCTTTAGCATGCTCACTCTTGCTGTTTCTGCGATTTTCCTCTCCTAATCCTCACTGGAACACCAACCCATCTCGAGCATCCAGTAGCTGCATTCCTCCAAGTCGTTCCGCATGTTTTGGACTTCTTCTGAAAACTGCCTCACACCGAAATCATTCGCACCCGTTCCTTTCTTCCCCCCTTGCGTGCTCCCCATCCCCACAGGCACACCGGGAGACTGTGCGTCCATGGGCCTCTCAGGCGGCGTTTGAGCTGACTCAAAGGTCAAGACGTTCAGAATCTTTTCCCTCACACCCGTCCCACCCCTGCCTGCCTGCTCCAAACTCCCCACAGGCACACCGGCAGACTGTGCGTCTATGGGCCTCTCAGGCCAGCTCTTCAAGGGCATCAAGCCCCTCCTGGTAGGGAATGGTTCAAAGGGGTGCAGTGCAGTTCATGTGGTCAAAACACGGTCAAAGCGCAGCCATTAGTTTCAACCATGGTCCAATTGCTCAACTGTGTGTTTCCTGGTGTTGTTGCTTCATGCGTGTCCTGAGATGATGTTTCTTTCCTTCTCAAAGAAGCACTTTTGTACGAGCTGGTTTTTTAGAATTCTAAAAAACCTGCTGTTTCCTTCTCAACGAACCGCTCTATTTTTGTATCGTATCTGTCAAAGTTGCTCTGTTTCGTGAGTCTTGTTTTGCTGTACATCCTTTTCTCTCCTAGTCAGGGATCTCTTTTCTTTTCTCCTGATCCTTGTCTCTCTTGATCCTTTTCATCCATCACATGCCTGTTGATGCTGTGTGTGGGATCAGGTCATCAGTGGCATCAACAAGGGTGCCAACACAGGCCGCCAAGTGTGAGTTACCGTTATCTGCACCTGTGTTTCATCGGCACCTGTGTAGCCACTTCGGCAGCTGCTCGGTCACATCCCACCCCTGTGCTCACAGCATGCTCCATCCACCTTCCTGTTACCCCATATCACAGCATCTACCATCGCCACCATAGGACCCTTCTCAGCCACATCCCTATGCGTTCTCATCTCATCTCATCACAAACCCTTTTCAGTTCGTTAATTCCTGTGCTTGCTTGGATGCACTTCACAGAGTTCGTCAAGCATGTGGGCAATATGTCATGCATGCATGCTCGTCCTGTGTTCCAACCAAGCACCCCTCACTGTTCTTCCTGTGCTTGCTTGGTCCCCTTCCACGTGCTGAATCCTCCTTCCCCTACCATCGATCTGCCCTGCCCGCAGCATCTATTTCGGGATTCTATAAGGGGTACTCCAATCCCGTCCTGTTCCTGTTCCTCAAATGGTCAACGGTCAGGGGCCCAACCCAGGGGCCCTGTACCTGCTCCTCAAATAAGGGGCCTTGTACCTGCTCCTCATGTACTCACATGCTCAACCGTCCCCACTCCTCCTCCCATCAAACTGCCGTGCCCGCAGCATCTATTCCGGGACGGTGGCGGGTGCAAGGGAGGCCGTCATTCAGGGCGCTCCAGGCATCTCCATCTCGAAGCCGTGTAGTCACCCACTCACCTTTTGCCTCCTATTCAACCGCCCTGCCCGCAGCATCTACTCCGGCACGGTGGCGGGCGCAAGGGAGGCCGTGATCCAGGGCGCTCCAGGCATCTCCATCTCCCTTGACTGTGTTGTAATTTCATAATTTGTACAACATACATAGGCTAGAATTAGATCTGTAGTACACTTATAAATTGGGGGGTTGTTTAGTGTACCCTCCAACCACATTTTGTGGTTGGTTGGGATTGGTCCCTAGCTCAACCAATCCCAACCAACACACATTTGTGGTTGCTTGGGTCACAAGCAAGCTCACCCATTGGCCAACTTATTGGCCAATAGGGTAAGCTTCCCTTTCATCTCTCTCTTGCTCATTGTTTGTACTAAAGGGCCTCTTGGCTCATTATTCAATGTATCTCTTCTAGCTTTTCAACATGGTATCATGAGCTATTGGCTCACGCCTTAATCCCTCGATCCTAAGGCCACCCTCTCCTCCCCGTCCCTCAGACCTAGTCCTACTACGGTGCTCCCAAGCTCAGATCTACTCCTCTCGAGCTCCGATCTACTCCTCCCGAGCTCACATCTACTCGTCCCAAGCTCAGATCTACTCCTCCCAAGCTCACATCTACTCCTCCCGAGCTCAGATCTATCCCCCCCGAGCTCAGATCTACTCCTCCCGAGCTCACATCTACTCCTCCCGAGCTCAGATCTACTCCTCCCGAGCTCACATCTACTCCTCCCGAGCTCACATCTACTCCTCCCGAGCTCAGATCTACTCCTCCCGAGCTCACATCTACTCCTCCCGAGCTTAGATCTACTCCTCCCGAGCTCACATCTATTCCTCCCCGTTCCTCAGATCTAGCCCCACCCACGGAGCTGCCCTCCCTTCACGCACCCTTAAGGCGCTGTCCTCCCTCCCCGTGCGCCCCCTAAGGCGCTGCCCTCCAAGGCACGTCCAGATCTGCAACTCCAGCGCCCAGATCTGCATTCCCCGCGCTCAGATCTGCAACTCCAGCGCCCAGATCTGCATTCCCCGCGCTCAGATCTGCAACTCCAGCGCCCAGATCTGCACTCCCTGCGACCAGATCTACTCCTCCCGCGCCTAGATCTGATCATTCCGCGCCCAGATCTGGATTCCGCGCCACCAGATCTCCTCCTCCCGCGCCCAGATCTGAACATTTCGCACCCAGATCTGCACTCCGCGCGCCCAGATCTGCACTCCGCCCACCCAGATCTGCCCTCCGCACGTCCAGATCTGCACTCCGCGCGTCCAGATCTGCCCTCCGCGCGCCCAGATCTGCCCTCCGCGCGACCAGATCTGCATCTCCCGCGCTGAAATCTGACCATTTCGCGCCCATCTCTGCTCGTCCGCGCCCTGCCCGTCCGCACGCCCTGCTCGTCCGCGCCCTGCCCGTCCGCACGCCCTGCTCGTCCGCGCCCTGCCCGTCCGCACGCCCTGCTCGTCCGCGCCCTGCCCGTCCGCACGCCCTGCTCGTCCGCGCCCTGCCCGTCCGCGCGCCCTGCTCGTCCGCCCTTCGCGTCCGCGCCCAGCCCGTCCGCACACCCTGCTCGTCCGCGCCCTGCCCGTCCGCACGCCCTGCTCGTCCGCGCCCTGCCCGTCCGCACGCCCTGCTCGTCCGCGCCCTGCCCGTCCGCGCGCTCTGCTCGTCCGCGCCCTGCCCGTCCGCGCGCCCTGCTCGTCCGCGCCCTCCCCGTCCGCGCACTCGTCGCACGCCCTCCTTCCCCGCTCGCTGTCCCCCGTCCCCTCGTCCGCCCCCTGCCCACCTCCCCGGCATACCGCACATTTGCAAACGCATACCGCACACCTTCATGCCCTGCTCGCCTGCGCCATGCCGTAACCGCCCACACTCACATTGCTCCCTCCATGGCAATAGTCGCCCTGGCATGCAGCAGAAGTGGTGCCGGTGGGCATGGAGGAGGGCATAGTGGTAGCTGTGGTGGTGGTCAAGGGAGACTCGCAGGATATTGTGGTATCAGGGGTTTGAGCGCAGGCTGCGGCGCAGCAGCAGCCTTCTCTCCTCGTGAATATGTGCCTCGCTATGGCCCGACTCGGGGACTTCAGTGCAAAATCTCCACCCAAGCCCACCATGCCCCGAGTCCACCCTTCTCTCCTCCTCCTCAGCAGCAGCAGCAGCAGCAGCAGCAGCAGCAGCAGCAGCAGCAGCAGCAGCAGCAGCAGCAGCAGCAGCAGCAGCAGCAGCAGCAGCAGCAGCAGCAGCGGCAGCGGCAGCGGCAGCAGCGGCAGCGGCAGCGGCAGCGGCAGCAGCAGCAGCAGCAGCAGCAGCAGCAGCAGCAGCAGCAGCAGCACCGGCACCAGCAGCAGCAGCAGCACCAGCAGCAGCAGCAGCAGCAGCAGCAGCAGCAGCAGCAGCAGCAGCACCAGCACCAGCAGCTCTGGCACCTCCTCCTCCAGCTCCAGCAGTTGCTTCACCGCCTGCAGCAGCACCTTAGCGCACAAGCGCAGCTGCCTCTTCCTCCTCCTCCCCCAACTTCCCAGCAGAACTCAGTTCCGCATTGTTCCACAAGCTCCGCCACTTCAAGCAATGTCCCACCTCTCTCATCCGTTGGTATTGCTGGTATGGTCAATCAAGCCACATCAGCTGCCCCTGCCACATACTCCTCTAGCACTAAAGAAACTGCGTTCCAGTCCTCTGTCCCTTCCTCCTCCCTCCCCTCCACTGTCGACTTTGTCCTTGACAGCGGCGCCACTGACACAGTTCTTCGCGATGCTGGCACCTTGCGCCCCCTCCCAACGCCTACCTCCCTCCTTGGCGCCGATAGCAGCTTCTCTATCCCCTGCCATAACACCTCGACTCTCCCCTGCCCACTCTTCCCCTCAGGCACTGTCACCGGTCTCCACATACCCTCTCTTCGCGCTAATCTCCTCTCGCAAAGGTCCCTTCAACAAGCCGGTATCACCACAGTATTCCCAGCTTATGCTAACTATTGCGCTCTCTACCATTCCGCCACCGGTCAGTTCATTTCTCGCATTCCATTTTGCCCTCGCTCCCGTCTGTACACCCTTCGTGTTCCTCGCCTCCCCTCCTGTCAGGTCATCTCTCGTCCTCCCCTCCACCCTCTCATCCCACCCCCTCCTCTCCCTCCCACTAACCCGGACCTCCCTTCACGCCCCCCCCCTGACTCCTCTTGCTCCTGTCGCTCCTTCTCCCACCCTGCCGTCCTCCTCCATCACAGGCTAGGTCACCCTAACTTCGCTACTCTACGCTCCTCTGTTTCCTCCGGTCTCCTCCATGGTCTCCCCTCCTCCCTCCCTCCTCTCCCCAAATCCCCTGCCCCCCCTGCACCGTCTGCGTTCAGAGCAAGCTCAAGCAGCAGCCGCACCGGAGCTCCCCCTCCGCTGCTGCTCAGCCACTTGATCTTGTTCACATGGACCTCTGGGGCCCCAATCCCTCTCCCACTCGCCAGGGCCATCGATACCTCCTCGTACTCGTCGATGATCACAGTCGGTACTCGTCCGTCTCTCTCCTTCGGACGAAGGCAGATGCCCCGGCTGCGATCATCGCCTGGCTCGAGCGAGCAAACACCCATTTTGGGCGCCCTGTTCGCCGCCTTCACTCTGATGGTGGTGGTGAGTTCCTTAACAACCAAATATCCTCCTATTGCCAGTCTCATGGCATTCTTCAGACTTACACCCTCCCTCACTCCCCACAGCAGAACGGTGTGGCTGAAAGTCGTGTTCGAGAGATCACCAAAACTGCCCGGTGTCTCCTTGTCCACGCCTCCTGCCCTCCTTCTCTGTGGGGCTACGCCCTCCTTCATGCCGCCCTGCTTACTAACCTTTACCCTCACCCTCTTCTCCCATCCACCACCCCCACTGAGCTGTGGACGAACAACAAGCCTGATGTCTCATCTCTTCGTGTCTGGGGCTCAAAGGCTTATGTCCTTCTTCACCCCGCTGACCGCTCCCGTTCTATGGGAAAGCTTGCCCCTCGTACCCTTCCCTGCATCTTTCTTGGTCATAACTCCTCCTCACCTGACTACCTTTTCCTCCATCCCCCCTCAGGTCGTCTATTCCGCAGTAGGGATGTGGTCTTTGATGAGTCCACTCCTTACTACTCCTCTCCCCCATCCACTGACCCACTCCCCCGTCTTCCCCGTCCCCTTGTCTGGTCTGACACCACCCCTCCCCCTCTACTTCCTCCTCCCCCCATCCTCCCTCCCCCTCCCCCACCGTCGTCCTCGTCCCACGGTGCCCCTCCCTTGTCTGGTGATATATTTGACCCGGAACCTCTGTCCTCTCCCGTCTCCCCCACACATTCCTCTCCTAGTGCCCCTCCCGCCCCTCCTTCACCTCCCTCGCTGCCGACTCGTCCTTCCCCCCCTCCCCGCACTGTACTAACTCGGTACCCCCATACCAGGTCACAAGACAGTATCCTTGGTGCACCGCCCCCTGTTACCCTCTCTACCTCTACCCTCCCCCCACTCTCCCCTCTCCTTCACCACTTCTTCCAGGCTGTTCTGCATCAACCTCCCCCTGCAGCAGCCCCCGCCGCCACCTCTCCAGCAGCGGCGCCAGCAGCAGCACCAGCAGCACGACCAGCAGCGGCACCAGCAGCAGGACCAGCAGCGGCACCAGCAGCAGGACCAGCAGCGGCACCAGCAGCAGGACCAGCGGCGGCACCAGCAGCGGCACCAGCAGCGTCACCAACAGCGGCACCAGCAGCAGGACCAGCAGCGGCACCAGCAGCAGGACCAGCAGCGGCACCAGCAGCGGCACCAGCAGCGGCACCAGCAGCGGCACCAGCAGCGGCACGTGCAGCAGCACCAGCGGCACCAACGGTCATCCGCTCCTTCCACACCTCCCTCTCTGAGGACTCCCATGAGGAGTTCCTTGACCTCCACCTCTGTGACCCTTCCCTTCTACCCATCACCTTCGACCTTTCTGGGACACCTGTCTTCGCATTCTCCTCTGCTCCCTCCGTTTTCATCCCTACCACGTATGAGGAGGCCATGGCTTGCCCCGACGCCCCACTCTGGCTCGCCGCCATTATCAAGGAGCTGGAGGCCTTTGTCGCCAACTCCTCCTTTGTTGATGTGCCTCGCCCTCCCTCCTCTACGAACGTGGTGAAGGGGAAGTGGGTGTTTCGCGTCAAACAACTGCCAGGGGAGCCGCCCGTCTACAAGGCTCGTTACTGCGCCAAGGGGTTCACGCAGCGGTATGGTTTTGACTTCTTCGATACCTTCTCCCCCACTGCCAAGCCCGCTACTGTTCGCGCCGTGCTCGACCTCGCCGCTCGCCTCAATATGGAGATCCACTCGATGGACGTCTCTAACGCCTTCCTCCAAGGCGTCCTCCGCGAGCTTATCTACATGGAGCGTCCTGCCGGTTTTCACCTTCCCTTCCCTGCGGACTCTGTCTGGCAGCTGCGTCGCCCTGTGTATGGGCTCCGACAGGCCCCGAGGGAGTGGCATGCTAAGCTTGCCGCCACCCTTGCTGAACTTGGATTCCGCACCTCCCGTTCTGACGCCAGCCTCTTCCTCCGCGCCTCCCCCTCCCCCTTCTACATCCTTGTCTATGTCGATGACATGATTCTACTCACTGCCGACCTCAGCGAGTTGGAGCGTGTTAAGGCTGAGTTGGGCAGCCGTCTCAAGTGCAAGGACTTGGGCGAATTGCAGCATTACCTGGGCATGACAATCACCCGCGATCGCTCCGCCCGCACCATCTCTCTCTCCCAGGGTCATTACTTGCAGCAGGTCTTGGAGCGGTTTGACATGGTCCGCGGCGGCGCCCAACCTACTCCTCTTTCTGTCGGGCACCACCTCTCTCCACCCACCTCCCCCTCAGCCTCCTCCCATCCTTATCCCGAGCTCATCGGCTCCCTCATGTACGCCATGGTCTCCACTCGCCCTGACCTTGCCTACCCCATCAGCGTCCTCGCTCGTTTTGTTGGCGCAGGCAAGCATACGGAAGAGCACTGGCAGGCCGCCAAGCGTGTCCTCCGGTACCTTCGTGGCACCAAGGACTATGTCCTTACCCTCGGCGGCCCCTCCCCACCTACCCTCAGCGGCTACAGTGACTCCTCCTGGGCTGATTCCCAGCCAGATCGTCGCTCCTCCCAGGGCTATGGCTTCTCTCTTGGCAGCGGCCTTATCAGCTGGCGCTCCACCCGCTCCTCGGCTGTCGCCCTCTCCTCCTGCGAGGCGGAGTTGTATGCCGCCACCATGGCTGCGCAAGAGGCCCGCTGGCTCACCTTCCTCCTTGAGGAACTTGGTGCCCCCCAGCGCTGTCCCACCATTTGGTGTGACAATGCCAGTACCATTCACCTCACCAAAGATGCCGTGTTTCACGGGCGTTCCAAGCACATTGAGCTCCGTCATTTCTTCATTCGCGATCTTGTTCAGGCGGGGCACCTTCGGCTCGACAAGGTTGACTCGGCGGCCAACCTTGCCGACATCTTCACAAAAGCTCTTCCTCATGTCGCTCACTCTTTCCTACTTCGTCTTCTTGGCCTCACTCCTCCTAAGTCGCCTCCCGCCTCTTGATTCTAGCCTTCTAGCCTTATGCATGTTGGGGGGTTGTGTTGTAATTTCATAATTTGTACAACATACATAGGCTAGAATTAGATCTGTAGTACACTTATAAATTGGGGGGTTGTTTAGTGTACCCTCCAACCACATTTTGTGGTTGGTTGGGATTGGTCCCTAGCTCAACCAATCCCAACCAACACACATTTGTGGTTGCTTGGGTCACAAGCAAGCTCACCCATTGGCCAACTTATTGGCCAATAGGGTAAGCTTCCCTTTCATCTCTCTCTTGCTCATTGTTTGTACTAAAGGGCCTCTTGGCTCATTATTCAATGTATCTCTTCTAGCTTTTCAACAGACTGGTCCGTGCCTTTGTCTTTATTCAATTGTGTTTGCTGCATCTAATTGCCCTGCCCGCAGCATCTACTCCGGCACGGTGGCGGGTGCAAGGGAGGCCGTCATTCAGGGCGCTCCAGGCATCTCCATCTCGCTCGACTGGTCCGTCCGTGCCTTTGTCTTCTTTCACTGCCCTCATGCTTATCTTATTCCTCTGGATGCTGCTTTCATGTTGCATTGCATGGGACGGGACTAACCAAGCGCGCGCTTCACCCCTTGCTATGACAAACCAAGTGACTGTCACTGTAGTGACTAATCACGAGCTGACTTTTGAGTCGACCCAAAAGACAGGACCAACCAAGCGCTTCGCCCCTTGCTATGACAAATTGAATGTCACTATAGTGACTAACCACCTTGTGTCCCTTTAACTGTGCCCACCCACCCCTCCCATCCTTTCTTCCTTTCCCACCCCCTCGCTCTCCATTAGGAACTGGCACGTGATATAAGAGTGTTTTTGAGACGTCTTGTTTGAGGCACCTCAACACGTGATATAAGAGTGTTTCTGGGACGTCTCAAAAGCACTCTTATATCACCTCGCTCTCCATCAGGAACTGCCTGCATTAAACACTCACACTCTTCGTTGGTTCCACCTTCCGTCCCATCCCATCCCATCCCATCCCATCCCATCCCATCCCATCCCATCCGCTCTCCTCCACCTATCCTCCTCTCGCCCACCAGGGCCGCTGCAAGCACTGACGCCCTCTTTTCTCCCGCCGCTGCCACGTGTCTGCCTCTCATTCGCTGCATTCTCGAGGCAGCAACTGCTGGTCAGCTCTCCAGCAGCGGCGGGGACCCGCTGCTGCTGAACGTGAACGTGCCTCTCGACCCTGTCAAGTCCAAGGTGTGTTCTTCTGGCACCCCTGTATGGTATGGAATGGTATGGAATGCTGCACTGGTAACTCCAGCGGCGGAGACCCGCTGCTGCTGAACGTGAACGTGCCTCTCGACCCGGTCAAGTCCAAGGTGTGTTTCCTCTGCCACCCATATATGGCATGGAATGCTGCACTGGTAGCAGCAGCAGGGGAGACCTGCTGCTGCTGAACGTGAATGTGCCTCTCGACCCTGTCAAGTCCAAGGTGCGATCTTTTCGCACCCGTCAACACCAAGGAAATGCTCTTCTGGTAACAGCAGGAATGTGAACGTGCCCCTTGACCCTCTCAAGTCCAAGGTTCGTTACATCCTCCCCCTTTGGCCCTTCCATCCTCTCCCCCCCTCCCCCCCCCAATCCCCAACAGGGCTTCAAGCTGGCCCAGCAAGGCCTTGCGCGGGTGGCCTTCCCCTGGACGCACATTGCCAAGAAGCGCACCGGAGTGCAGCTGGCAGACATGCATGAAAACGGCTCTGGTTCCCCCCTCGTTTCACTTCATCCCTGTAACCTCCACTCTCTGAATCCCCGGCAGGGTTTCAAGCTCGCCCAGCAAGGCCACGCGAGGGTGGCCTTACCCTGGACGCACATTGCCAAGAAGCGCACCGGAGTGCAGCTCGCAGGCACACATGCATGAATGGTGCGCTGAATCTTCCTTTGCCCCTTGTTCTTCCATCCTCCACTCCCTAACTCCCTTAATATGCTGCAGGGTTTCAAGCTCGCCCAGCAAGGCCAGGCACGGGTGGCCTTCCCCTGGACGCACATTGCCAAGAAGCGCACCGGAGTGCAGCTCGCAGGCACACATGCATGAATGGTGCGCTGAATCTTCCTTTGCCCCTTGTTCTTCCATCCTCCACTCCCTAACTCCCTTAATATGCTGCAGGGTTTCAAGCTCGCCCAGCAAGGCCAGGCACGGGTGGCCTTCCCCTGGACGCACATTGCCAAGAAGCGCACCAGAGTGCAGCTTGCAGGGATGAATGAGTGGTGCTCTGGCCCGCCCTTCTGTCCTGTCCCACTATCCTCACTCCCTTATCTTTCACAGGGCTTCAAGCTCGCCAGGAGGGGCAGGCAAGGGTGGCCTTCCCCTGGACGCACATTGCCAAGAAGCGCACCGGAGTGCAGCTTGCAGGCCTGCACTCATGAATGGTGCGCTAAATCCCCCTTTGCCGTTCCTTCCTCCATCCTCCAACCCCCCCAATCTCCAACAGGGTTTCAAGCTGGCCCAGCAAGGCCACGCGAGGGTGGCCTTCCCCTGGACGCACATCGCCAAGAAGCGCACCAGAGTGCAGCTTGCAGGGATGAATGAGTGGTGCTCTGGCCCGCCCTTCTGTCCTGTCCCACTATCCTCACTCCCTTATCTTTCACAGGGCTTCAAGCTCGCCAGGAGGAGCAGGCAAGGGTGGCCTTCCCCTGGACGCACATTTCCAAGAAGCGCACCGGAGTGCAGCTTGCAGGCCTGCACTCATGAATCGTGCACTAAATCCCCCTTTGCCGTTCCTTCCTCCATCCTCCAACCCCCCCAATCTCCAACAGGGTTTCAAGCTGGCCCAGCAAGGCCACGCGAGGGTGGCCTTCCCCTGGACGCACATCGCCAAGAAGCGCACTGGAGTGCAGCTCGCAGGGCTGCATGGCGGAGCGGCAGCAGCCGGGGGGAGGGGACTGCCGGGCATGATGGGTGGCAGGGGTCTTCCGGGAATGATGGGAGGGAGGGGACTGCCGGGGATGGTGGGAGGGAGGGGCCTGCCGGGAATGACTGGGCCTCCCGCGGTCTCTCTGGCTGAACTGGGATCGGTTGCCTCTGCTGCTGTGAGTGCTCTCCTTTGACCGCCGGGGATGGTGGGGGGAAAGGGGTGGTGTGAAAGGGGGCTGAAGGGGGCTTCTGGGCATGATGGTGGGAAGGGGGCTGCCAGGCATGATGGGAGGGAGGGGAGGTGACAGGGATGGGAGAGTGTAAGATGAAGGGGATTGGGGTCAAATGATAGAGAGTGAGAGTTGCACAATACACACGTGCGAGTGATTGGAAGAAGAGACATCAGCGGGAGAAGATGCTGAGGTGGGGTGAAAGAGAGGGAGGTTGTGACTGGGCCTGCACCGGTCTCTCTGGCTGAACTCGGATCTGTTGCCTCTGCTGCTGTGAGTGCTCTCCTCTTACTGCTGGGGATGGTGGGGGGAAGGGGCCTACCGGGCATGATGGGCGGCAGGGGCCTGCCGGGAATGGTGGGAGGGAGGGGGCTCTTGGGCATGACTGGGCCTGCGCCTGTCTCCCTGGCGGATCGGTGGCCTCTTCTGCTGTGAGTGCTCTGCTGCTGTGAGCCGTGGCAGCCGGTGCATAAGATGCACTTCCTTCTTTTCTTTGTGGCATAAGCTGTATTAACGGGTGCCATGCCACACTCTCACGGTCCACGCTCTTCCTCCCTCTCACAGGGGGCAGCGCGGTCCACCCCTCTCATCCCCTCTTCACACACCTCTATCTCTCTCCCCCCCATAGGGCGCAGCGCGGTCCAAGACTCCTGGGGAGGAGGGCAAGGAGGACGGCGGGGACGAGCCGTGGCAGCCACTGCATAAGATGCACTTCAGGCACGAGGTGAGGTGCTTAAGATGCACTTCAGGCACGAGGTGAGGTGCTTAAGATGCACTTCAGGCACGAGGTGAGGTGCTTAAGATGCACTTCAGGCACGAGGTGAGGTGCTTAAGATGCACTTCAGGCACGAGGTGAGGTGCTTAAGATGCACTTTAGGCACGAGGTGAGGTGCTTAAGATGCACTTCCCTCATGAGGTGAGGTGCTTAAGATGCACTTCCCTCATGAGGTGAGGTGCTTAAGATGCACTTTCGTACCTCTCTCTCCCTCCCAGCCGAGCGGGTGGGACGTGCTTGACAAGGACCCCATGACTCCGCTGCTCTCTCCCTCGGCTATGAAAAGCCTCACTAGACCCATCCGTTTCTCCCCCTCGCACCCCTCTCAACCCCCCAACATCTCTCTCTCCCTCCCAGCCGAGTGGGTGGGTGGGACGTGCTTGACAAGGACCCCTCCTTTGACTCCGCTGCTCTTTCAGCCTTTGCATAAAGTGACTGTCAAAGAACCTCTCAGTCGCACCCCTCTCACTTCCCTCGTACCTCTCTCTCCCTCCCAGCCGAGTGGGTGGGACGTGCTTGACAAGGACCCCGACTATGACTCCGCTGCTCTCGCTCTTGGCTATGTGGGTGATGATGGGGTTAAGAGTGGTGATGGGTGTGATGGGTTGAGAGTGGTGATGGGTGTATGAGTGATGGTGGGTGTGTGAGTGGTGATGGGTGTGGGAGTGGTTATAGGGGTGTGTTAGTTATAGCTGCGCTCCACTCCTTTTCTTTGTTCATCCTTGCCTGCTCCTTTCGATAACTGCTTTACTTGCCCCTTCTCTCCACCTGCGGCGCCTTGCACTTCACCCGCCCCCTTCACTGCCTCCGTCATCGCAAACACTGAGTTGACCATTGAGTCGATTCAAAAGTCATCTCTGCTGTGCTGCCCCTTCTCTCCACCTGCTGCACAGTACACTAAACTGCCTCTATCATCGCAAACACTCCACATCCATTTCCCTGCGGGTTGCTCACCTATATCTACTCCCCTCCCTTCACGCTCCTGTTTCCTCTTGATTATACCTTGCCACCTATGGTGCAGGTGACAGTCACACCACTCGCCATCACTGCTTCCATCGATATCCACCCACGGCTCAAGGAGGACTTGGCATGGCTCGCACCGCTGCTGCCACACGATGCCTGATGTGCTCCTCGGTTCGACACGCACCCTGCTCGCCGTCACCTCATTCATTGCCATCCACCCACTACTCAAGTCAGACCTGGCATGGCTCGCACCGCTGCTGCCCCACAATGCCTAGCGTGCACCTTGGATCGACTGTCGCTGAGTTTTTCATTTGAGGCCTGAGCTGTTGGACCAGTCCAGAACCCAGTTTTTGTAACATAAAGAATCCTCTACTGCTCTGTTTGTTGTACTAAACTGAACATTGTGCACTTTGGGATGAATTTCCTAGAGAAAACAACATATCATGACTCCATGGCCCAATGGATAAGGCGCTGGTCTACGGAACCAGAGATTCTGGGTTCGATCCCCAGTGGAGTCGTCTAATGTAATGTTATGATGATATAATGTCCTCCTATAGCAACAACGATTTCGTTGTTTTTGGGTGATGAGGACTTGATCAATTCTGTTGTCCTTGCCGGTTCAGTTATTATCGAAGCACCTTGTCATAAGACCAATTTTGGAACCGCGAACTGGTACACGAGCAGTGCAGTTCGAGACGGACCGAGCCGTTTTTCAAAACAGCCGTTTCGGCAACCGTGTAATCAGCCGAAAGGGCCGGTTCGGTTCAAGGGTCGTAGCGAACAAGGTCCTTAGGACGAGTCCGCTTCCCATTTATTTTGGCAATCGATCGGGCAGATTGATCAGCCACCGCACTCAATTCCAGCTATTAGGGCCTGTGGCTTGTCATGCCTTTTGAAAATATGATCCTGTACAATCGCGAAGATGTGGTGAGAGTTAACGCGTCCTCATAGCAACGTCCACACAACTGTCAAACAATATGTTTAATATATACCCTGCGTGCTGTAGGTACTGTAGTTATTATTATTAAGAGTTGGTGGTGCACCTTCTTTGTTGCTTTGCTATATGTACCTTGTGTGCTATAGTGAAACACCTCTTTCCTTGCCTAAACTCTCTCGGCACTTCTTCCTCTTCACCCTAGCATGGCTCCTCACCTCTAGCTACTATCTTAACATGGTACAGAGCTGGTTCTTTCCCGGAACCTTCTCTTTTTTTTTTAAGAATCATGGGCCCGCCCGTACTACAGCGCGAAATGCGCTATTTTCTTTTTTTTTTCTCCCCGTTCGCCCGTCACGCGCGCCCTGCCCGTCCCCCCGAACGTGCCACGTCGGCTGCCTCGCGGACGCCCCGTCGGCTGCCCCGCGGACGCCCTGCCCGTCGCCCGCTGCCCCCCAGTTCCGTCGCCGCGGCGCCCTGCGTTCCGTCGTCGGGGCGCACCCCTTCCCGTCGTCCGCGAACCCCGTTTCGTCGCCTCGCGGCCCCCCGTTCCGTCGCCAGCGCCCGCGCCAGCCCGGACCGCAGGCGCCGCCGCCAGCGTGGCCCGTCAGCGCGGACGCCACCACCGCGGCCAGCCGCCACCGCCACCGCCAGCAGCAGCTACCGCCAGCGCCAGCAGCAGCTACCGCCAGCGCCAGCAGCAGCTACCGCCAGCGCCAGCAGCAGCTACCGCCGCCCTGCCCCCTCCCGCCCGCCCTCCCTTCCACTGCTTCCGTCGTGGGGGGGGGGGGAGGAGGGGGAGATGTGGGGGTGGCGGGTGTGAGGTTGTGAGGAGCCAGCACCTCCTCCCTCCCTTCCCTCTTCCTCTCTCCCTGCAGCACTTGTTGCTGTAGGGGGGGGGGGGGGGCGGGTGTGAGGAGCCTGCCACTCCTCCCTCCCTTCCCTCTTCCTCTCTCCCTGCAGCAACTGTTGCTGTAGGGGGGGGGGGAGAGAAGTGCAGAAGGGTGAGGGGGTGGCGGGAGAAGACAGGTGCGGAAGGTGTGAGGTTGACGGGGTTGAGTGACGAGGGGGTGAGGACTAGGGGGTTCTTAACGGGGGGGGATCGCATTGAGCGTGCGCGCTCATGCCCGCCTAGCCCACCTCCTCTCCTCATCGGGACTTGGGGGTTCTTAACGGGGGGGGATCGCTATGAGCTTTCGCGCTCAAGCCCGCCTAGCCCACCTCCTCTCCCTTCCCTCTCTCACCTCCCCTTTGTAAAAGGAGGTTCGTAAGCGGGTCCGCCGGTCCTGGCCCCCCACCTCCTCTCCTCTCCTCTCCTCTCCTCTCCTCTTCTCTCCTCTCCTCTCACCTTCCTCACTTCTCTGCCTTCTTCCACAGCGCTTGGTTTGCTCGTTCAGGGGGTGCTGGCTGCACCAGTTTCTACCGCACGCAGGCTAAGGGGGTGTGTCAAACAATATGTTTAATATATACCCTGCGTGCTGTAGGTACTGTAGTTATTATTATTAAGAGTTGGTGGTGCACCTTCTTTGTTGCTTTGCTATATGTACCTTGTGTGCTATAGTGAAACACCTCTTTCCTTGCCTAAACTCTCTCGACACTTTCTCCTCTTCACCCTAGCATGGCTCCTCACCTCTAGCTACTATCTTAACAACAACACACCAAACCAAAGCAATAACGGCCAATTTGATGCGAAGGCAATAACGCCTACAGAACAGCGCCAAGTATGCAAGGCCAAGTAGCCATGGCCAAGTATGTAAGGCCAAGTAGCCATGGCCAAGTATGTAAGGCCAAGTAGCCATGGCCAAGTATGTAAGGCCAAGTAGCCATAGACGTGGGAGACGGGCACCTTCTTCGCGCCTTCTCATTCGACCTTTTCCTGCACGGCCCCTCACTCCCGCTGCTGTGTTTTCTTCCGTCTCTCCGTTCGTGGTCGTGTGGCGTGGCGGTGCGGGGGGAACCGCGCGCTGGTGCGACGAAGAATCTCTTTCGTTCATGGGCAGTGCCACGTGCGAGCGGAAGCAGCGCCTTTTCGTGCTCCCGGGGGTTTCCCTCCAGTTTCATCCCTGTTCGCTCATCAACCCATACCACAAGTACGTACTCCTGCCTCTGGTCTTCTGGTGCCGGAAATCTACTATAAAGAAGCCGTAAAGTGAGGGCAAGAACGTGCAACCTCGCATTCACTACCAAGTTCCTTTCCTCCATCCGCTGCTTGCTCTTCGCTCGCCCAACATGCTATTCCCTCGCTCTACCCGTAAGCTCCAGGCAACCAAGAATGCACCACCATCGCAAAAAAACGGGGCTTTCAAACTTACCGGAAACTTTCCTTCGAGTGTCCTGTCAGAATCTAGCAGCAGGAATGGATGAACTAGCAGCATGCAGGAGTACAAGTAGTAAACCCTAATTGGGTTGTACCCCATATGGGCTACCCCACTACAGCCTAGACAATATGCAGCATATATGTTTGACACACCCCCATAGGCAAAGTGGGGGAGAACAAGGGGTCAAACGACCAGTCAAGAGAAGCAAAGCAAGCTCAGGGTGGATCTCAACGTCACCACACATTCTGAGCACAAGCAAAGGGCCACAAGGCCAGTCCACATGCAGAGATATATATGCAACAATAACAGTACAGTGATGACTACCTAGCAAGAGCAGGCATGCATGTATATATATAGATCACAGTACAAGCAGAGACTACAGCAAGTGTGGAAACGTAGGCACAAGGCCTAACAGGGTACAAAAGCGCTGATAATCACCAGACGGAAGTGCCTTGGTGAATATATCAGCAGTGTTGGCCCGAGTGGCCACGTGACGAAGACGAAGCTGGCCTCGCTGCTGCAACTCTCGAGCCAGGAAGTAACGCAGAGCAATGTGCTTCGTTCTGTGCTCCAGTCTGTGCTCCTCACACAAGGCAATGGCGGCCTTGTTGTCGACGTACAGCACTGGAGGAGAACGAGGCTGCTCTCCCAAGTCAGTCAGCAGGTAGGTGAGCCAGCGTAACTCCTGTGCAGCCATGGCTGTGGCGTAGATCTCAGCCTCACAACTGGAGCTGAGAACTGAAGACGAGCGTGTAGAACGCCACGAAACTGAACCAGAGCCAAGGCTGAAGGTGTAACCCTGCGACGACCGCTGAGTAGCCAGGTCGTCAACCCAAGAAGCGTCTGAGTGCCCAGTGAGGACAACTGGGCTCGTCCCTCCAAGCACTAGCCCCATGCCTGATGTGCTGCACAAGTAGCGCAGTACCCTCTTAGCAGCAGCCATGTGCTCAGGTCGGTGCCGACCAGGAGCCACGTAGCGAGCCAGAAGACCAAGAGGGTACGCGAGGTCAGGTCGAGTGCAAGTCATCAGGTACATGAGGCAGCCGACTAGCTCTGGGTAAGGACCACTCGGCTCTACGGACTCGTCCGAAGGTGGAGCTGAGAGCGAGTGACCTGTAGCCAGAGGAGTGGCCTGTGCTGAAGACCAGGTGAAGCCGAAGCGCTGAAGGACCTGCTGCACCATGTGTGACTGAGTCAAGGTGATGGTGCGGCGTGCTCTGTCCCGGGTGATCTACAAGCCAAGGTAGCTGCGCAGCTCACCCAAGTCTGTGCACGTGTGTCTCTTCTGCAGCTCCGACTTCACGTGGGCGAGAGCCTCAGTGTCAGCAGTGGCAAAAACCAAGTCGTCGACGTACACGAGGATGTAGAACGGCGGCAGTGAAGTGTCGGTGCGCAGAAACAGCGATGGGTCAGCAGTAGAAGGCGCGAACCCAAGAGCCGCAAGCGTAGTCCTCAGTGTGTCGTGCCACTCACGTGGCGCCTAGCGGAGACCGTAGACCGGCCGCCGGAGGCTCCACTGGGTACCAGGAGGGAACGACCCAGTGAAGCCCGGGGGGCGGCGCAGCCAGATCTCCTCGTGCAGGCTGCCCTGCAAGAAAGCTGTGCTGAAGTCAAGAGAGTGAAGCTCGTAGTCACGGTGAGCAGCAACGTGCAGTAGCACCCGAAGAGTGGTCATCTTCGGGGTGGGGGAGAAGGTCTGGAAGAAGTCAACTCCCTCTCGCTGACTGAAGCCTCGAGCAACGTAACGAGCCTTGAAGACAGGCGGAGAACCTGGCGGCCGCTTCACCCTGAAAATCCACATGCCACTGACGATGTTCGCCCCATGAGGGGGAACCTCGTCGATGTAAGTGCCAGTGGACTTCCAGGATGCCATCTCTGCGTCCATGGCTGTCTGCCACTGAGAGGAGT